TACATTCTTTTAGATTTATACCCAGAAGTGGGATTGCTGGATCATATGGTAGTTCTATTTTTAATTTTTGAGGAACGTCCATACTGTTTTCCACAGAGGCTGCACCATTTTGCATTCCCACCCACAGTGTGCAAGGGTTCCAATTTCTCCACGTCTTTGCCAACACTTGTTTTTTGTGTGTTTTTGTTTTGTTTTTTTTGCAGATGTGAAGTGATATCTCATTGTGGTTTTGATTTGCATTTCCCTGGTGATTAGTGACATGCAGTATTGTCATTATGATTCTGAGTTTTACAGCCTATATTATTATTTTTTTTTGTGGCTGTGTTGGGTCTTCTTTGCTGCACGTGGGCTTTCTCTAGTTGTGGAGAGCGGGGGCTACTTTTCTTGCTGTGCGCAGGTTTCTCATGGCAATGGCTTCTCTTGTTGCGGAGCACAGGCTCTAGGCACACAGTCTTCAGTAGTTACAGCACACGGGCTCAGTAGTTGTGGCTCACAGGCTCTAGAGCACAGGCTCAGCAGTTGTGGCGCATAGGCTTTGTTGCTCCGTGGCATGTGGGATCTTCCCAGGCCAGGGATCGAACCTGTGTCCCCTGCATTGGCAGGCAGATTCTTAACCACTGTGCCACCAGGGAAGTCCTATAGCCTATATTATAAGGGGATTTAAAAAGACCTCCTTGTTCCCCATTGCCTCATGGTTGAAGTCCAGGATATACTATAAGGTATTGTTGCATATAGTTTATCATAATAAAGCTGAAATTGATCTATGCCAAGATAAAATTAATTTATTTATACCATGAAAAATGATTTCTTGGAAATGCAAAAAAGAAAAAAATTCCATCATTGGAGCTGGTGTATCAGAGAAGCAGCCTCTAATGGCAGACATGAGCAGCAGCTTAATTAACCGTTATTAATTAACTTAATCATAGTTAGTGCTTGCTGAGCCCCTACATACAGCACTGGCTGGCTTGCTCTCTCTCAACTGCGTGATGCTTGCTCCAGCCTCAGGGCCTTTGCACTTGCTGTTCCCACTGCCAAGGACTCTCTTCCCACACAGCTTACTTCCCACTCACTTCCTTCCAGTCACTACTCATATGTCACCCCAACAGAGGTGCCTTCCCTTCCTAATCTTTTTTTTTTTTTTTTTTGCGGTACGCAGGCCCCTCACTGCTGTGGCCTCTCCCGTTGCGGAGCACAGGCTCCGGACGCGCAGGCTCAGTGGCCATGGCTCACGGACCCAGCCGCTCCGCGGCATGTGGGATCCCCCCGGGCCGGGGCACGAACCCGTGTCCCCTGCACTGGCAGGCAGACTCTCAACCACTGCGCCACCAGGGAAGCCCCCTTCCTAATCTTGTTAGCTCACCCTCATAGCTCACCCTCATCTACATAGCTCACCCTCATCTCTATCTATCTCTGCCCTGTTTTATTTTTCTTCTTAGAACTTAGCCCTCCTGACTAATTATGTGTTTATTTGGTGGCTTGCTCACTGGAATGTGAGATCCATGAGATCAGGAACTCATTTTTTTCCACAAATGTATTACCAGGACCTAGGACAGCGCCTGGCACACAGTACATGTTCAATCATTAGTTGCACATTAATTAATTGGGGGGGGGAGTTACATAACCAAATCACAAAGTGTTTGATGGGGTCAGGCATAGGAATTTGGACTTCAACCACGAGGCAATTGGGAGCAAGGAGGTCTTTAAAAACTAGTTTTGTTATTGTCTTCATTTAAAAAATGTATTGACAAGCAATAAAATTCACCCTTTTTGTGTACAGTACTATGAGTTTTCACAAATGAATACAGCCATGTCACCAACACTACAATCAAGATATAGAACAGTTCCATCACCCCCCAAATTCCCTTGTTCCTCTCCCACCTCCCAGCCCCTGGCAACCATTAATATATTTTCTGTCCCTATAGTATTGTCTTTTTGAGAATGTCACATGAGTGGATGAAATCATCTAGTAGATGTCTTCTTGACTCACTTGAAAGAAGTGAGGCTTCTTTCACTAAGCGTAATGCATTTGAGATTCATTCACATTGCGCATATCAATAGTTCATTCTTTTTTATGACTAAGTAGTATTCTATCATATGGACAAACCAGTTTGTTTATCCATTCCCCAGGTGAAGGACATTTGTGTTGTTTCCCGTTTTTGAAGGTTATGAATAAGGCTGCTATAAAAATTTATGTACAAAAAATTTTTTAAGCTGAAATACAATTCACATACCATAAAAGTCACCCTTTAAAGTGCACAATTCAGTCACACTGAGTACGTTCACAATGTTGTGTAACATTCACCACTATTCAATTCCAGAACATTTTCATCACCTCAAAAAGAAACCCCATACCCATTAGAAGTCACTCCCCATTCCCCCTCCCTCAGCCTCTGGCAACCGTGTATCTATTTTCTGTCTCTGTGGATTTGCCTGTTCTGGGCATTTCATATAAATGGGATCATACAACATGTGACATTTTGTGTCTGGCTTCTTTCACTCAGCATAATGGTTTTGAGGTTCATCCACGTCATAGCATGAATCAGTGCATCATTCCTTGGTATGACTGGATAATATTCCATTGTATGGATAGACCGCAATTTCTTTATCCATTCACCCATTGATGGCCATTTGGGTTGTTTCTACTTTTCTTTCATGTACAAGTTTTTACGTGGACATATATTTTCAATTCTCTTCACCTAGGAATAAAAATTGCTGGGTCATATGGTAGCTATAAGTTTAACTTTTTTTTTTTTTTTTTTGCGGTACTCAGGCCTCTCACTGCTATGGTCTCTCCCGTTGCGGAGCACAGGCTCCGGACGCGCAAGCTCAGCGGCCATGGCTCACGGGCCCAGCCGCTCCACGGCATATGGGATCTTCCCAGACCGGGGCACGAACCCGTGTCCCCTGCATCGGCAGGCGGACTCTCAACCACTGCGCCACCAGGGAAGCCCTATAAGTTTAACTTTTTAAAGAACTGCCAGACTGTTTCCCAAAGCGTCTGCACCACTTTACATTCCCACCAGCAGTGTATGATGTTTCCAATATCTCCACATCCTGGCTGACACCTGTTATTGTCTGTCTTTTTTAGTATAGCCATCCTAGTGGGTGTGAAGTGGTATCTCACTGTGGTTTTGATTTCCATTTACCTAATTACTGGTGATGTCGAGCATCTTTTCACGTGCTTACTGGCCACTTGTATATCTTTTTTGGAGAGATGTCTATTCAAATCCTTTACCCATTTTGCTTTGTTTTAATAGACTTTGGTTTTAGAGAAGTTTTAGGTTCACAGCAAAATTGAGACGAAGGTATTCAGAGTTTTCCCTTACATCTCCTGCCCCACTAATGCACAGCCTCCCCAGGTATCAACAACCCCCACCAGAGTGGCGCATTTGTCACAGGTGATGAACCTACATTAACCCATCATCAGCCAGAGTCCATAGTTTAATTAGAACTTACTCTTCATGTTGTACATTCTGTGGGTTTGGACAAACGTATAATGATGCATAGCCATCGTTATAGTATCATACAGAGTAGTTTCACTGCCCGAAAAATCCTGTGTTTCACCTATTCATCCCTCCCTCCCCCCAACATTTGCCCATTTTTTTCTTGGGTTATTTGTCTTTTTGTTGTAAACTTCTAATAGTTCTGTATATAGCTTGGAGACTAGTCCCTTACCAGTTACATGATTTGCAAATATTGTCTCTATTTCGTGCGCACGTACAGGTTTTTGTGTGCACATAGGTTTTCATTTCCCCTGGACAAATACCCAGGAGTGGGATTGCTGAGTCATGTGTAAGTGTATGTTTAACTTTATAAAAAACTGCCAACCCATTTTCCATAGTGGCTGTACCATTTTGCATCACACACTCAATGTATAAGAGTTCCAGTTGCTCCATGTCTTTGTCAACACTTGGTATTGTCAGTTTTTTCCCCCAAAAAGATCATCTTCAGGGGGGTCTTTAAAGCTTGATCATAGTCATATTTTACAGGATGGCTTCACACGCTGGGGCAAAGTATGGAAGCTGAGGCAGGGGCCAGAGGAATCTTGTGGGGGGAACTGCAATGGTCCAGGCCAGGGAGAGTGGGGATGAGGGAAGGGGAAGACTCAAGAGTGATTCAGGGGGCCTGGGGTATGGGGCTGGAACTGGCTGCGCAGGAGAGGAAAGTGGAAGGAGGCCAGATCCAGAGTGAGAAGGGCAGGGAGTGCCAGGCTGGGAACTTTCAACTCCCAGATTTTCTGCCCAAGAGGATTCTGAGTCTTAATAAGGTTGGGAGCTGCTACATTGTATTTACCCCTTGAGGATGTATGGGCACATTAACACATTAAAGCCTCTGACAAGTCCTGCAATAAAGAACTCTGGCCTTATTGAACTCAAACTTAGACATTGGATTGCTTTTCTCAAGCCATAGCTTCATCCTCCTCCTCATCCCCAATGCACACCTCATCTAGCTTGTTTACCATTATGTGCCTAGAGCTTGCTTGTATCCAGTGGTCAAATATTTTTTGGGGGGTTGTATTAATGATCTCATTAGATCGTCAGAACAACTCTATGAGGTAGGTACTAATATAATTTCCGTTTTACAAACAAGGCTCAGAGAGACCAGATGACTTGCCTAAGGCCACACAACTAGTGGGTAAAGAGCTGGAATTTGACCTGGGGTGTGCTGGCAGCCTCTCCACCACCCTGCGCATCTCTCAAAGGTGCCCCATAACCTCGGTCTCACCTGATGGTGGCACGTGTGCTCTCCCCACTGAGGGCTACCCTGTGACCTCCCAAAGCCCTTCTCCTTGCTCTGGTGGCTGTGGACATACTCAGGCTGTTGCCCAGAGAGCTCGGCTGTAACTTGAGTCTCACCCAGGCTGGGGGTGATGTGGAGGGTGGGCAGGTGACAACCAGGGCAGGGAGATTTGCCCAGACACTGGTACACAGCAGCCTGCCGACCGGTGTGGCCCCGAGGAGTTTGGGGGCTTTGGGAGCTTGTTCCAGGGTCCTGGCAGTGGTCTTCACCATGGGCAACAAGCAAACAGTATTTACTCATGAGCAGCTGGAAGCATATCAGGTAGGCGTGATGGGCCGGGCCCTCGGTGGGTTTGGCAGCCTTGGTTTACTGGCCCAAGAAATGGGGACAGCATCTCTTCATCCTGGGTGTGCAGTCAGCAAGCGTTCTGGGGAGGCTCTGTGTGTGGCTTCAGGCAGCGATGAACGTGGGCTTGTGGGAGAGGAAGGAGGCCCCCCCCGCCAGGCAGGGTCTGGGTCAAGCCAACATCTCTCTCCGCAGGACTGCACCTTCTTCACGAGGAAGGAAATCATGAGGTCAGTCTAGGGAGGAGGGAGGAAGAGGTGGAAACTTGCTATACGTTGCTTGATTTGCAATTTGACCACGTTCAATGCTTCATAAGGGTTAAAGCACTAATGGGGGGATTGCATGCATGGTCGGTGGATGGATGCAGAGACGGGAAGGCTGAGAAGTCACATCTGGTCCTGTTGTCATGTCTCTAGGCTGACAAGCTTGGCCTTTCTCCCAAAGGTGGCGGGGAGCCATAGAGAGTGTGTGAGCATGGCAGATACAGATCAGCATGTTAGAAAGATCCCCCTGAGGCCAGTGTGAAGAGGCTGGGAGGCCAGGGGCAGAGTCTAGAGCCAGTTCTGGGCTGTGGGGTTGACATCAATGTTAGAGACTGAGAAGGTGGCCCCAGGCTGCTGCAGGTCCCTGGTGTGAGCGAGACAGGCATAGATGGGTATTCTACATCATCACTCATCCCATGGAGCTGTTATCCAGAGGCCCCGACCCATGAACTTGGAGCTGTGAAACTGAAGCTGGCCGGGGTTTAGCTGCAGAGTGATAGGGGCCAAGGCCCCAACTGTGTGGGCACAGAACATCCATTATTGATGGACACACCTTTCACCAGTGAGCCCCATTGTCTGGGTGAGGACAGCTTGCGAGGTCATCCTGGCCATCACGATTGGATTACTGATGGGGAAACTGAGGCTCAGACAAGGGAGGCTGACCCCAGGCCCCTGGGTAGATGGGTAGAGCCCCAAGGAGTTGGAGACTAACATTTTGTCTGCCTCAAGCTTCTCGCTTGTCAGACAGACCTACTGAGGGGAAAGGGGGATGAGGGGAAGAGGGACTTACTCAAGGCCATACAGAAGCCCAAACCCAAGCCCAGGCTATTCTCTGAAGGAACCCAGGACTGAAGTTCCAGATATCTCCTCCTCGAGTTCCTAGCCATCATGTGACCGAGGGGCTCCTGTCCCCCTCAGAGACAGCCCCTAGCAACTTGGGGACCTCTGACTCATCAAGGATGGTCTCTACAAGGTTACTGCTCAGCATGCTTCAATGATGGTATGGTGTCACCAGGTGAGGGCATTAGGGTGGAGAGCTGGCTCTACCATCTAGGTAGTGTGTATGGCATTTGGTGTTTTGCAAAATGTCTTTCATTTACCCTTTTGAAAAACCTGAATATTAGACTTTTGTGTTTGCTCTGCCCCATTGAGAGAACCCTGCCCCCCGTTGTGAAGGGAGAGAAGGAAAGTGTGAGGATGTGGGCCTTTAGAGGCCTTGCCAACGATGTGATAATGTCCAGAGGTACATAGATTGGCTCAGATTCTCTGAATGCTAAATGTGAATGCTATTTGTCTCCTAGCATGGAGCAATGCTGTTTACTTTTTTGTTCTTTCACCTGCTTACTTCTTATTGACTTTCTCTCGGAGGAGACCCAAGGGCAGTGACAGTGTCTGTTTTGTTCACCATCCGTCTCTGTGCCTGGCAGATAGTAGGTACTCAGTAAATACTTGTTGAATGAATGAATGAATGAATGAAAATTTATCACAGTGCCTGGCACACTGTAGGCACTCAATAACTACTTGTTGAAAGAGGGAATGAATGAATGACCTTGCCTTAAACACTCTCTCTTTGTCAACCCCAACTGCTTGGTAAGCTCCTACTCATGCTTCAAAACCCAGCATCAATGCCCCCTCCTCCAGGAAGAATTTCCTCCTCCCTGGCTTGCTTCCTGCACTCTCGTTTTCCCTAGCTCTGGAGTCCTCTCTTTACCTTGGCATTGTCCCCACGGCGATAAAGGCACCTGTGTCTGGCTTTGTGTGTGTGAGGCTTAGGCCCACGGCTAATGGCTCTTGGGGACTCAGCATCTTTCAGTGTAGAGTAAGCAGCTGCAAGAGTGAGAGAGTAGGGACAAGGCCACACACACCCATCTCCCAGACCTTCTCGTTGTTTCTGTCCCCACACCAGGCTCTTCTATCGCTACCAGGACCTTGCCCCCCAGCTTGTCCCTCTCGACTATACCAGCTACCCTGATGTGAAGGTTCCTTACGAGCTCATTGGCAGCATGCCTGAACTGAAGGTATGCCTGGGCCATGGGGCAGGCAGGGAAAAAATAGTAGGGATGTCCCTTGCTGCATTCCTATGAGGTGAGTACTGTGATTATTTCCATTTTATATATGAAGAAACTGAAGTTCAGAGAGGTTAAGACACTTGTTCATAATCACACAGCTAGGACATGACATAGACAGGATTTAAACCCTGGGTTGTTGGGAAGATGAGATGAGATAATGCAGGTAAAGGGCTCAGTACAGGGCCTGTGACATGACAAGTACTCAGGGAACATTAGTTTTTCTTTTCATAGTAGGAGCTATTAAATGTGGGTTCTTCTCAGCTGGTTGTCTGACACATAGTTTGTGACTCTGGAGGGGACTCTTGGGGTGAGGGACTGTGAATAGAGATTATTTTATCACAGGGGACAGAAACCTCATTCAAGAGGGACAGAATGGGTTGGATCACATGAACAAAAAATGCAGGGAGAGGCTTAGCATCATGTACAGCTGGAACCAGGGTCTCTGAGAATATGCTTGGGAATCTCCCTCCATCTTTCAGCTTCTCCCAGGAAGAGTCTTCAGTCTCAGGAAGCCTGTTCTCTTGAGGTAGTGAAGGGAAACACCAGCTGCCTCAGATTTCCTCCCATAAGCTCTGCAACAAGCAGAAATAAGGTTCCTCCACCCCAACTTTTCAGCAACTCTCCCAGGGCAGCCTCTGATTGGCAAGTTTGAGTCATATGCTCATCCCAGAGGCAATCACGGTTGCCAGGTGAATGGAAATCCCTGATTGGCCTCACTCGGGTCATGTGACTGCCTCTGAAGCTGGAAATGGGGTTAACGACACCCAGACCACTGGGGTGGAGATTGGAGTTGCCTGAAGTCCTCTCCAGGGATCATGGGAGGAAGAGAGTCTTGGTGAGGGGTACTTGGAGGTTCCCAGGAAGGTGAGTGTTGAGCGTGAAACCATGCAGAGCCCTCCCCCCAAGGTCCTGGTCAGGGATTGGTTCCCTGCTTCCTGTCTCTAGGACAACCCTTTCCGTCAGAGGATCGCCCAGGTCTTCTCCGAGGATGGGGATGGCCACATGACCTTGGACAACTTCTTGGACATGTTTTCTGTGATGAGTGAAATGGCTCCCCGCGACCTCAAAGCCTACTACGCTTTTAAAATTTATGGTGTGTGCAGGGACCCGGGGTGGGGAAGCGGGAATGAGACCGGGTCGGGCCAGGGGCTGCCCTGCCATCACAAATGTCTCCCCAGGGGCTCTGAGGCCCTGCGTGGCCCTGTCCTTCACCTCACCCTGGTACCTCCCCACCCCATCCGTTTACTGACTCCATTCCAGCCACAGTGGCCTGGCTGTTTCCCCAACACACCAAACTCTTTCTGTCTCTAGGCCTTTGCCTCTGTTGTGCCCTTGTCTAGAATATCTTTCCCCTGGCTCCTTCTTACCTTGAAATTTTGGTGAAAAGTAACCCATGCCCCCGAGTTACTCTCCATGCCACAGCCTATTTCTCTCCTTTCATGGAGCAATGCTGCTTAATTTCTTGTTCATTCATCTGTTCACTCCTTATTGACTTTCTCTCTGAGGAGACACGAGGGCAGTGACAGTGTCTTTTTGGTTCACCATCTGTCTCTGTGCCTGGCACATAGTAGGTACTCAGTAAATACTTGCTGAATGAATGAATGAATGAAAATTTGTCACAGTGCCTGGCACACAGTAGGCACTCAATAAATACTTGTTGAAAGAGGGAATGAATAACAATTATCACACACTTGACACATAGTAGGTGCTCAATAAATACTTGAGTGAATGAATGACCTCCCAGCAGGTCCCTGCCCAATTCCAAAGCAAGATCCAGATACTACCCTAGGGTCTTGGGTTCCCTCCAGTGGCTCAGTTTCCTCCTCTGTAAGACAGGGAAAAGATGTGCCCATGACTGGCCCAGCCTGCCTGCCCCCGTGTCCCCTCACCACCACAGCCCCACCTGTTCTGCTGCACAGACTTTAACAACGATGACTACATCTGTGTGTGGGACCTGGAGCAGACGGTGACCAAGTTAACGCGGGGAGAGCTTAGCGCTGAGGAGGTGAGCCTGGTGTGTGAGAAGGTGCTGGATGAGGCCGACGGGGACCACGACGGGCGACTGTCCCTGGAAGACTTCCAGAACATGATCCTGCGGGCGCCGGACTTCCTCAGGTGACATTCCTCTCCACCTTGCACAATCCGTTCCCATGGATGAGAGAGGCTCTTACGGAAAGGGTTCATAGACTCCCTTTGTGAAAATCCCTCTGTTCATTCATTTGTGACCTTGGGGAACTTTCCCGACCTCCCTAGCCTCAGTCCCTGTGTCTTTAAAATGGGGATAATTAGAGACCTTGTGAACACCTCCTCTGGGTGGACACAGCTCTTTGGGTGAGTGGAATATGGTTGGACTTCAGCCCTCAGTTGCTTGAACATTTTGTAGTGAACAGGCTGTACCATAGCACTTGGCAGCCCTGGGGAGAATCAGTGCTTCCACTGTAGGGCGGATAGCATGGGTTAAATGAGTTAATACAGGGGTTGGCCCACCACCTGTTTTTTTGTACCTCCCATGAGCTAAGAATGGTTTTTACATTTTTAAATGGTTGGGGGAGAAAATAAAAGAATAATCATACTCCACGACACATGAAAGCCGTATGAAATTCAAATTTCCGTGTCTATTGCTAGTTTTATTGGCACACAGCCATGCCTGTTTGTGTACATAGTGTCTACGGCTGCTTTTGAGCTACATGGTGGTGCTGACTCATTGTGCAAAGTTGGAAATATCAACTCTTTGGCCCTTTGCAGAGAAAAGTTGAGTGACCTCTGAGCTAGTACACGGAAAGAATTTAGAGCAGTGCCTGGTATACAGTAGGTGCTCAGTAACTGCTTTATGGTTGCTGTTGTGGCTGTTATCATTGGTGGTATCCTTTCATGACCAGAGGGCCTCCTTCCTCTACCCTGGATAAGCAAGGCTGGTCTCCCGCCACAGAGACACGAATAATGACACCAGGATGAATCCCTTGCTACTAATTGAGCACCTACTGTATGTCCCGCCCTGTACATTGGCCTCTTTTTAGCCCTTATTACAGCACAGTGAAGGAGGGACAGCTTATCCCCATTTTACAGGGGAGTAAACTGAGGCCCCGAGAGGGAGGGGTAGCCGCGCACTTAGAGTCTGGGGCAGAGCCAGGATGTACACTCTGATCCAAAGAGATGTGCTCTCAACCCCTGTGGGGGTCAGGAAGGCCACGGCCTGGGGTTTATTGAGGGGGTCTATCTCTCCCCCACCCACTGTGGTTCCTTGCGTGCCTCGGGGACTCCTGGTGGGAGTGTTGGGGAGAAGGACGAAGGAAGGGTACCCTCTGCCTGCTGACAGACTCCTTTTCTCTTTGCACCCAGCACCTTCCACATCCGCATCTGAGGGTACTGCGGAGGAGCCGGGCCAGAGGAAGGCAGGGCGACCCCTCATCTCAATGTAGAATCCGGTCTCCCTGGGCTCCGGGAATAAACACACATCACTGAGTCACAGCTGCTCCGAAAACATGTTTCCCAACTTTAACCTGGCAGACAAGAGGGAGGCAGCCAAGGATCTAACCTCTGTCCTCACTATGTGAATCCTGGGTGTGGCTGCACCCTCTCTGGGCCACAATCTCCCCATTTGTACAAGGAAAGGGGTGACTTCTGGATGTCTCTCCACCGAGAGGGCTGGAAGTGCCTCACTGTGGGTCTTGGTGGGCAGAGGCGAGGTGTGGAGATCAGGCCCATGCCGTCCCAGCTCAGGGCCTCCCAAGGCCCAACCCTCGACTGCTCAAGTTGCCTTTTCCCCCCTCAATCCCTGAATTCCTCAAGGGGACTAAAGCTTCACCGCCTCACTGATACATTAGAATCGCCAGAGGAGGCCTCTGGAGAGGGTGTGGTGGCAGGAATGTTATTCACTGAGGCTGGCACAGTGCTTTACAGTTCAGGAAACACCTGCCATTCTTTCATCACATTGGCTGCCTGTGACATCCCAGCAGGGTTGGCTGAGGAGAACTCACACTTCGTTCAGAGGCAACGGGGTGACTTGCCCAAGGCCACACCTGAAGTCATCTGCAGAGGTGGACTTGAACCCAGGCCCACTTCACTGCACATCCCAGACCTCTACATCTTGCAGATTTGGGAACCCCCATACCCAGTCCACCTATAGTCAGCCTGGGGGCCCATTCCATGTCCCCAGTCACTCCAAGGAGTGGTCATTCCTGCAAGAGAGACAAGCCCCCCAGGGACCCTCCCAGACACCTCCACTGTGTATCATTTCTAGGGTGTCCACTCTTGCCCTAACCCCCATTTATTAAGCACCTACTGTGCGCTAAAGCCCTAGGTTTTATTTGAATTCTTTTGGTTCATCCTGAGAAAGAGGGACTGCTCTTCTCCCCATTTTCCAGATGAGGAAACAGGCCCAGAGATGTCTAGTGACTCACCAAAGGTCACACAGCCCCACAACCCAAGATTCCCTCCAGAGCCCATCCCCATCCACAGCCCTAGGCTGCCTCTCCCTTTTTAAAGGAAAGGGCCTCTTATGCTTCTCCTAAAGCTGCCGTTGATGTCAGGAGTGCTTACTGTGTGCCAAGCCCTCCACAAGTTTCATCTCCATTTGCACAAGAACCCTGAGAGGAAGGCATGAACAGCCCTGTTACAGACAAGGATGTACTCTATGAGGTGTGCCTAGGTTACGTGGGGAAAGGTCTCAAACTGACCTGGCTTCGAATCCTGGTGCTGACACCCCAGCCATGTGACCTTGGCCACACCTCTTCTCCTCTCTGAACCTGGATCTTCTTTATTTTTTTAATTTTAATTTAATATAATTTAATTGTTTTGGCTGTGTCGCGCAGCTTGTGGGATCTTAGTTCCCCGACAAGGGATCGAACCCAGGCCCTTGACAATGAGAGCATGGAGCCCTAACCACTGGACCGCCAGGGAAATTCCTGTCTCTTCTTTAAAATGTGCAGAAAGGGGGCTTCCCTGGTGGCGCAGTGGTCGAGAGTCCGCCTGCCGATGCAGGGGACGCGGGTTCGTGCCCCGGTCCGGGAAGATCCCATATGCCGCGGAGCGGCTGGGCCTGTGAGTCATGGCCACTGAGCCTGCGCGTCCGGAGCCTGTGCTCCGCAACGGGAGAGGCCATAACAGTGAGAGGCCCGTGTACCACACACACACACACAAAATGTGCAGAATGAACCTACCTGATGGGCCTGCTCAGAGGCATAAAAGAAATAATGAACATGGAGGGTCTGGTGTGAGGCTAGGCACAGAGCAGGTGTCCTAGACGCCACTGCGGTAACATTATTATTATTACTAATTATTATTAAAATGACCAGGTCACCTTACTGGCAATCACAGGACGAGACCCAAGCAATGTCTTTATTACATTCCTCAGGTCCCTGAGGGCTAGTGGGTCACGGCAGAGAGCAAAAGGTCCAGGCGTGAACGGCCCCCGGCAGAGAGGGTCCCAGAGCCGGGGCGAACCTAGCAGTACCCAGGGGCGAAGGGTGGCGGTGAGCGGTACTCTTCGGGGAGACAGTCCTGTGGTTCTTTCGAGCCCCTTGGCTCTGGTTTGGACACGTGTGAGGACAGGGCCCTCACTACTGCCTGGTGCCAGTCCCTGACCCTTGAGGTTGTCTCGCTCCAGCTGGCTGACCTTGAGGCTTTCCTAGAGGGCTCATCTCTGTTTCTTGGAGCTTGGGGGTCTGTGTAGACGTTATTTTTCCAGGCTGAGTCCCCTGCTCCATTTCCAGAGCCATGGGTCACCACCAATGGCTTGGCGTCCCAGAGCGATGAGCTCGCAGCCACCAGCTGGGATTTCAGCTCCTGCTGGAACTTCTTGCCCGTCCGGGGGAGTATCTTGAGATTCCTCCAGATTTTCTGGCGGGCCTCCTCAAGAGGAGCTTTCGGGGGGCAGGAGGAAGTAGCTTTCTCCGTGGATGCCCCGTCCGGCTCTGCCAATGGCTTCCCTTCTTTTCGCCGATGGAGCAGGACTGGGTTTGTGAAGGCCTGAAACCGAGAGCAGGTGAGACCTGGGGCTACCCCGCCTACCACAGCTCTGAATCTGCCCCAGAAACTGGGATCTGGGTTCCACCCAGATGTCCTGGGGCCAAGAAAGTCCCAAAGAGAACCCCCAAGCCTGATCCCACGACCCACCCTTCCTGTCTCAGTAAAGGGCTTCACTGTCTCCCTCAGTGGTTGGCAAACTTTTTCTGTAAGGGGTCAGAGAGGAAATGCTTTCAGCTTTGCAGATCAGTCTATGTTTCATTACTCACCTCTGCTGTTGTAGGGCCAAAGCAGCCAGAGATCATACGTCAGTGAGCGAGCGTGCCTGTGTTCCTCTAATACTTTATGGACACGGAAATGTGGGTTTCATCTGACTTTCAAGGGTCATGAAATACGATTTTTCTTTTGATCTCTTTCAGCCATTCAAAAACATAAAAGTCATGCTTAGCTCATGGGCCATACAGAAGGAGGCAGTGGGCCAGATGTGGCCCTTGGGCAGTAGTTTGCCAACCCCTGACCTACCAGGTTGTTCAGGCCCCAAACTTGGGTGTCATTTGTGGCAGATGCTGTCAATGCCGCATCCACATCCCTTTGTCTTGAGCATTTTGGTGCCTCCAGCTCCACTCCCAAGCGCCAGCAGTGGGGACTCTGCCTTGGGGACTTCTTTGGCCACTTTGCAGACCAGAGGTACCAGAGAATTAAAACCTCCCAGAGACAGCGCTTGACTAATGACTGATGGAAGGGAAGATCAGTACCACAGCTCCTTGTCCCTAAGGTGGGATAACTGACGTGCGTGTTCCACAGAGTCCACAGGGGTAACCTGCTCACTACAGCAGCCTCCTTTGGTGGCCCTCTCTCTCCTGACCCACTTTCCTGCTCCCCTCATGGCACCTCCTGGGATCACTTCCCAAATAATGGATGACTGGGGGACTCAAACCATGACACTGTCCCTCTTCCCCTCACCCGCCACCTCCAAGCCATCAGCAAGATCCACCTTTAGGGCTCCCTTTCTAGTTTCTCCCACATGGATACTGTCCCTGCCTCCTTCCCGCCCCCAGACAGCCCCTTCTGCAGCCGGCAGCCACAGGGAACACCATCAGTCCCACCATGCTCAAGCTCTCTCATGGCTCCCCAGCACACCTGGAATAGATCCCAGCACCTCACCCTGGCCCCAAGACCCTGCATGAATGACCCCTGCCGACTCTGGCCCCTCACCTCCCAACAATCTCCCTTTTGCTCACTCCACTCTGTCCGCACATTGGCTATTGTGGTTCTTCTGTTTTTCACCCTGAGCCTCAGGACATTTGCATGTGCTGTTTCCTCTGTTTGGAATGCCCTCCCTGCATCTCTGTGTGTGGTTGGCTCCTCTTCATCCTGAATGTCCCAGCTCTATGCCACCTACTCCAGGAAGCCTTCCCTGACTGTTCCCCCACCCTCACCTGCAAACCCACTGATGTGCCAGGTCCTCCGAGGGACAGGAGAAGCAGTGGTGAACAAGTCAGATTCCCAGGCCTCCCAAAGCTCACAGTCTGATGGGAGAGGCAGGCAGGAAACATGAAAACTCATAAATGAACAAGACTTTTCAAATTTTACAGACTGCTCTGCTGCAAATGAACAGGGTGATGTGATGGAGAAGGCAGAGGGGCTACTTTAGGTCTGGTGACTGGGCAGAGAGATACTTGAAGAAGAAGTGATGAACGAAGCCAGGCATGGGAAATCTGGGGGCAGAGCACACAGCACATGCAAAGGCCCTGAGGTTAGCTTGATGTGTCAGAACAGCAGAAGGGTTGGCAGAGGGGCTGAAGTTGGGCTGGTGATGGGTAGCGGGACCTGAGATCATAGTTGGGATTTTAATCTCAGTGCCTTGGGAAATCACTGAAAAGTTTTTTGTTTGTTTGTTTGTTTTTGGGTTTTTTGGGGTTTTTTTTGCCACACCCCACGTGGCATTGGAAGTACAGAGTCTTGACCACTGGACTGCCAGGGAAGTCTCCCTGAAAAGTTTTGAGCTCGGAGCTACGGGATCTAATCTTCACTCTAGAACATCTCCTCTGGCAGCTGTTGGCCACCTCTGCTCCTGCATCCCCCTGCCCCACCTCCCGCCTTCCAGATTGAAGGTGCCAGTTTTCTGTCACATACCTCTTCAAGTGGGGCCATGGGACAAGAGGAGGGATTCTGATATTTGCTGAGGCCAAGAGCAGAGCTGGTGGCTTCCTCAGCCAATGCGTTGGAGAAAAGGAAGAGATCCTTATAATCCGCATTTGCTGGATCCTTCTGCGGGGCAGAGGGGACATGCAGCTTAGTCCCAAGGAGGGTACAGGGATGGGGCTGTGGTCCCAGACCCTGGAAGTGGGGCCTCAGAGGTTGCCCCATCCACAAACCTTGTAAGGAAGAATGCCCCTCCCACAGCAGCTACTGAGGGCTAGGCCCTGCCCTCTGGGCCTTATAAGGAATATGCCACACTCTCAGCCCCTTCTGAGGGCCTAGGCCACGCCCATCAAT